TTGTTGATTTTTGTCTTTTCATTTAGTAACTGGCCATCTTACTGAATTCCCTATTGCTTTTAGTTTTTCACTTAATTTCTTTACATATTCCAGGTATAAAATTATCATTTACAAATAAATTTTTGTCTCCTCCTTCCTGATATTATTCCTTTTATTTAATTCTTGGTGATTTGTAATATCTAGTTCTTCCAAAACAGTGTTAAATGAGAGTAATGATAGTGGGTCTCCTTGGCTTAATTCTGACTTTAATAAAGATGCTTCTAATTTTTCACTATCTTTTGGTTTGAGAGATTTTTTTCCCCCTTAGCATCTCTTCATAAAGATTAAGTGTTTTTGTTTTGAGCCTGGGTTTTTTTCACTACTATATTGAGTCTAGATTTTTTTCGCCAAATCTTAATTACTTAAATAGTTAGAGTTGAAAAGCATTTCCTACATTTTTTTCATAGATTACCTAAATGCAGTGTTCTAAGTAATAAGACAAAATTGGTACATTTGAGTCCTTTCTTCTGAACCTCTGACCAGTATTAAACTTCAGTATTATAGGTGCATTTTATTTGGTAGTGTGGTGGGTGGTAGGTGAATTTGTTAGAACATGAACATGAGGGTGGGAGCTTGGATTATATAAAAAATTTTTTTTTTTTGTGAGGAAGATCAGCCCTGAGCTAACATCTGTGCTAATCCTCCTCCTTTTTTTTTTCCCCCCCCAAAGCCCCAGTAGATAGTTGTATGTCATAGCTGCACATCCTTCTAGTTGCTGTATGTGGGACGCGGCCTCAGCATGGCTGGAGAAGCGGTGCATTGGTGCGCGCCCGGGATCCGAACCCAGGCGGCCAGTAGCAGTGCGCGCGCACTTAACCGCTAAGCCACGGGGCTGGCCCCTATAAAAATTTTAAAGATGATTGCATGTGGTGGTGTTTACTCAGTGATTCCTAGGCTGATTGACCATCGGAATGGGGGGGGCGGGCAGGGAATGTTAAAGACACAGATGCCCAGATTCCCCTTAGTGATTCTGGGACAGGCCCTGGGAATCCGAGTTTAGAAGCTTCCTGGGTGATCTGATCAGCTAGGCTTGGTACATTCTTTCCGGAAGCCTAGTCTTAAACTTGCCTGACAGATAAAGTAGGCCATGCTATAATGGAAGACTCAGTTTGATATCATGTTTCTAATAGGTCAACATTTTGAGGAATATTTTGAGGACCAGGGCCATGTTTTCCCCCCTCCCTCTCTCGGTGTCCTAGGTGTCCTCAGAGTATGCCTGCTACATTGTTTCCAGCTAGTGAACTGGTGGAAATAAAGAATGCTTCTTTGTTTTTATAAATGGTGTCTTGAACACTTTCCATATTTAAGAGTTGTGTTTTATTTGTTGTTTTTTTTTTTTGTTCTGCTTTTTATGTAGTTGAGCTTTTGTAAGACCATCTCTAATGGAGGACACCGGACTACCATTGGACTGTCCTCCTAGGAGAGAATTTAGGCTGAGCACTTAGTAGGTTCCATTTACAGTGTTCTATTTAATAGGCTCTCATTGAAGTTTGATAGGAGCCTGTGTTGATGAAGATTTCCTTAAAATTTTAAATTTGAATGTCTCTTTTTAAGAAATCTTGTTAGACATTCATTACATTGTGATTAATCAAAGTAACAAAACCTCAAGTGTATTTGATGCTATATAAGGAATAGCACAGGAAAATTTAAAGGTAGTAAATCACCATAAAGTGATGTGAATAGTTTGTGCTTTTGCTAGTGTTTTTAATAGTTTCAGTTTTGCTGGGAGAGTAAGGGAGGATCTCATAGTAAGTTTTTAATACCTAAGAATATTAATATATCTTAATGTTAGTTTGCCTCAGTCATGAAAATCATTGTTTGCTTAATATTCCTGATGCTGTGGTACCCGTGCGACTCTGTGACTGAAGGCCTCCTTTGAAGGCTGTACTATCTAAGGGGGCGCTGTGCCTTCATTTTTATTTATTTATTTTAAATTTTTTTGTTTATTGCAGTAACATTGGTTTATAACATTGTAAAAATTTCAGGTGTACATCATTGTACTTCTATTTCTGCATAGATTACATCATGTTCACCACCAAAATACTAATTACAACCCATCACCACACACATGTACCGAATTATCCCTTTCACCCTCCTCCCTCCCCCCTTCCCCTCTGGTAACCACCAATCCAGTCTCTGTCCCTATGTGTTTGTTTACTGTTGTTATTATCTACTACTTAATGAAGGAAATCATACGGTATTTGACCTTCTCCCTCTGACTTATTTCACTTTGCATAATGCCCTCAATGTCCATCCGAGCATCCCGGCGCCTGGTGCTGAGTGGCAGGTGGTAGTGGCATCCTCAGTGTTCAGTGGAATTTTAGAGCTGTGGGGCCGAAAGCGCTCCAGTGCATTTCTGCAGTGCGACCTTTGGCTGCTGTGGCCTTCGTTCGTGATATCAGGGTACCACCCTTTGAGGTGGAGATGAGACGTGGTTGTTGAAGGATGTCTGGCATCTACTAGGGTCACCATTTGTGCATTTATTTCCACCGCTTCACAGATTAGTGTGTCTGTGGTGTATGGAGTGGTGTACAGCAGGAAGACTGAACAATATGACTTGGGACACAGGACATACCGTGTTTTATTTTTTTAACTTTTCAAAATTTTAAATTAGGAAATATTTCAAACATACAGAAAAATAATAGTAAACAAATAATAACTGAAACTTACGTGGATAGCACTGTTCTAGTGCTCTTTCTCTATGTATTTATTTATATATTTATGTATATTACTAACCCCTGGGAGGTAGGTCGTATAATTAACTCCATTTTACAGATGGAAAAACTGAGATAGAGATAGGTAAAGTAGCTTGCCCAAAGTTACACACGTGGCACGTTAACAGAGCTGGGATTTGAACCCAGGCATTTTGGTGCCAGAGTGATCGTCTTAACCAATACAGTACACGCTGTTGCCTTTCAGAAATACAAAAAGTTACATAACAGACATGAATGATACTTAGCACCTAATTTTAATAAATGTTAACATTTTGCTGTATTTGTTTCAGGGTTTTGTTCTGTTTTTTTAAATAACTGCATTACGCAAAACAAGTGTTTTCTCATGTGTAAATGAGAGATTGTATTAGACAACGTCTTTGGTCTTTTCTGGTTCCATCAAATTGTTTTTCCGACTTGCAGCATCTCCTGGTGCAAACCTGGTCCTTTCCCCAGCACTTTGACAGTGATGACCTGTCCTTACATCTGGTAAGAACTCGTTTAGCAGATATGTATGGAGTGTCTGCCACATGCCAGGCACCGTGCCAGGGGATGGAGATACAGTCAAGAAAGAGGACCCTGCGCCGGTCATCACACAACTCATGATCTTATGACGGGGGCAGGTGGATTTATTTAAGTGCAAGCTGCATACTTTTTTTGAGGAGTGGGTGATGTGGCCTGTTAAAAACCCAGACTTAGATCTGGGGATTTTAGTGATCTGGCCTGCTTATTAGATTCTCTAGGCTTCTTTAGCCTTGGGTCAGTAATTCAGTTTATTTGTATTTATTGTCTGGAATATAATTCCAGAATGATGGTTCAATTGGGAATGATCCGGAAATTTTAAAGTTTGGTATATGTTGCGTTCCTTCTGTAAAGCCCCTGGGCTCTGGGTTGGCTTTGAAACATCCCTGTGGGTTTGGAGAGCCCTGGAGTGGGGAACTTGTGGGTCTGCTTGGTTTGTGTGCTCTGGTAACTTGTGGGAGTTGGAAAGGCCCTCAGATGGGTCCTGCCTTTTAGAAACTCCTTGTAGGGTTGGATGGGTCTCAGGGCCTGGCCTTGCCCAGGCTCTTGTGGCACCAAGAACTCAGATCCTTGGAGACTGAGCAGTAAGGCGTGATTTAAGTGGAGCTGATTTGCTCTTTTTGTGTCTTCAGACCTTATTCATTCACTGTGTGTTCAAAAATAGTAAAATTAGCGTATGGTAAACTACCTTTACATACCATAAAACTAATTTATTAGAATTTGGAATGTGTTACCACATCAAAACGTGTAGTATCAAGCATCTTGAAATAATTTGTAAAATAGAATGAATTCGTAAGTTACTTTCAACACTGCTAGGATGTATTTTTATTCGTTGTGAGCATTGCTGCAGAAGGATGGCTCCTTGTCCCTACTTCACCGTTCCTTACAGTAGGCCTAATAAGAAAGGAAGAACCCATGAGGCTTTTCAGTTTTTAATTTCCAGCAGATGGTTCTGAGTGGTCGTCCCCCCCTTTTTTATATATTTAGGAGAGTAGCAAATGCTTTTGGAGCAGACACTAGTATTTTGGCATTTGTTTTAGTTAAGGCTTTTGGAATTCATCATGCAGACTATCTTGACAGAAAATGGGCTTGTTCTGAAATGAGATGATAAAGAGACGCTCCTGTCAGATGTTCTCAGGAGGTGGCAGTAGCTGTTTCTAGACATATGCCATCACATTTTAAGAAAATTATATAATCTTTTTCTAACCCTTCCAAAAGTTCATGAAGTTTCAGAAGTAAGTTCACTTCTCTGAACACCAGCTCTGGAATGCGAGCCTGCGTATTTAGATGTGGGATCTTTTTCTCTTCACTGGCTCTCTGGCTTTGGGCAGCTTAACTAACTTCTCAGGGCCTCAGTTTTTTCATCTGTAAAATAGAGATAATATTTACTTTCTTCACACAGTTTTTGTAAAGATTAAGACAGTGTGAAAGTACTTTTAAAGTTATTAGGGGTACACAAATGTCATTTATGTGTTAATATATGTGTGCAAGAATTTTTCCAATAGAGCCAAGCATAATATTTTAAGTGTTTGTAACTGCTTGCTGTCTGAAATTAGTGTTTATTCTTAGTCAACATGTGTTTTTTTTTTTTTTTTTAAATTTCAAGGGACTGTTATGCAGCTTTATATTTTAGGACTTGGAAAGCTTATAATAAAAGACATTAGTGGGATACAGAGGGGAGTATTATTGTCTAAACATGTGTTGATGACTTTGTGCCCTTAGGTACACCAAGCTTGGCTACGCAGGCAACACTGAGCCACAGTTCATTATTCCTTCATGTAAGTATAGCCCCCCCTTGGCTTTATCAGGGATTGTGTTTCTCAGAATTGTTCTAAGCGTTCTCATTCTTTTTTCAAGGTATATTAATTTACTTACCGTCTTCTTTAAGAAGGTTGTTCTGGTTACTGGGGAGGGTTATTTATTTTGACACCTAGTTCTTGAATATTGCTATAGACTATAGCTGTTACCTAAAAACCACACTTTCCAGTTCTTTGATTTTCTTCTGATACAGCCCCTGGTCACTGTCACTGGAGTTTCTGCTTGGGTGGGTTGCTGGGGCCTTTCATTCAATCATAAATGTCTGAACTACTTCGAAGGAGTCTATCTGGTTCTTTAAGGTTAATTTGTAATTTTAAGTACGTACAGTTTTGTTAATCTAGCAACTTTGTGGACTGGATATCCCTTGTCCTGCACTGTTCACTCTGTTGAAAGACTTGTTTTTGGATTGAGAGGCCTGATGACTGTTTCATTGTGTTCAGAGGTGTTCTGTTTTTGTTAAAATTTTAGTCAGTAGAGAATGGTAAACTTAGAAGAAGAAATGTCCTCACATTTGTCAGGAGTGCACCTACCCACTCTTTATTTCCCACAGGAGTCACCAAGGTCAGGGCAGTTCTTCATGGGGTAGAATTCTTCTCTGAAACTAGTTAAATTCTGGGTTGTTACCGGGGGACAGTTTATCAAAGAGTAATGTATATCAATCAAGAGTGAAGTGAAAGCCTGCCTCCTAAATGTACTCCTTGTAAGATAAGTTGTAATCTTAGAAACTGTAAGCTGTTATGGGGCCGGGTGACGTTGTAATGACAGGCTCTTGTGCCCAGTATGGAACATGGACAACTTAGGAGAGCTGGAGGGAAGGAGCTTAGTATTCATTCATTCAAGAGAAGACTAAAGCCTAATCTGGTGAATATGGGTATTCAAATTACTAGAGCATACTCCAGATTCCTTGAGCACATTTACTTCACCTCATTCTGGTTCCTTGCTTGCTGGATGACTGATCATGAATTTGATTTTCTAGATCTGAATGCTTTGATACCATGATGGGGTGTCCTCGACAGTAGGCATGATGGTCTGCTGCATCCTCATTTTAAATTCATAATTTGGTGTGTTAGTTTGCTAGGACTGCCATAACAAAATACCACAGAGTGGATGTCTTAAACAACAGAAATTTATTTTATCACAGAGTGGAGGCTTGAAGTCCAAGATGAAGGTGCCATCAGGATTGGCTTCTGGTGAGGCCTCTCTCCTTGGCTTGCAAATGGTGCCTTCTCACTGTGTCCTCACGTGGCCTTTTCTCTGCACAGGGCTGAGAGAGGGCTTTCTGGTGTCTCTTCCTGCTCTTATAAAGACAGTAGTTCTGTTGCATCAAGGCCCCACCAGTATGACCTCCTTTAGCCTTTTTTGCCCCCTGATAGGCCCTATCTCCAAATATAGTCACATTGGGGGTTAGGTCAACATATGGATTTTGAGGGGACACAGTTCGGTCCATAACAGTTGGCGTTCTGTAGGATAGATCAGTGTTTTGTGAATTTTATTGTTGTGAATGTCCCAGAACTTGGTCATTCCATGATGAGTTGGTAAGTTGGACTTTCTGACTTTTCAGAGCAGATTAGATTGTAACCTTGTTAAGGGCCACAACTCTAAAAGGCTGACCTTGCACCTTTTGCTTTAATGCTTTGCCATTTAAAACTGTCAGCAGCGTTCAGTTGGCTGCCCCATTTAACCTGTCATCGTTAACAGAGGGGAACCGAAGTCAGTTATTAGCAGGATTTCATTCACTGTCAGGAGGCACGGCCACTCGCAGGTCGGTGCTGTCGGAACTTTAGCAGTGGCAGAAGCTGGAAAGATAATAAAAATGTCAAAGAGGGGAGTGAAAGAACAGTTGCACTGTTGGCTGAATTTGAGGCAGGAGATAGAGAGCCGCAGGAGGCAGGGTTAGAAGCAGTTTGGGCAGAAGTAGGGGGTTGGACAGGTAGGGGCCTTGGTTACCTTGGGCCGTTGTCCACTGCTTGTCTTAGTGCTGGGAGCTGACCCGTTTTTCTGGTTGTAGAGGCTCTGTTCGCAATGTGAAGGTCAAGATGTATGTGCTAAAGTGGCATCCAGAGAGAAAAGGTGCAGCGTGTGTGGATGTGTGGCAGGTGCCGGAACAAGGCTTTTTGATTCCCAAGGGCGTTGAGGCGAAGCCCGTGCGGCGTGTGTGAGGAATTGCTGCGCTCGGACGGTGCTGGAATCACAGCTCCCAGTAGAGAGTGGCAGGAGATGTGGTGGGAAGCATGGAGAAGGGCCAGACGATGAAGGACTTGGAACTGTCATCTGAAGGAATTTTAGTTTTATGTTGCACAGCAGGAATTTTCGTGTTGCTTCTGAGGCTCCCTCGGGCCCTGGTCCCCGGACCAGAGAGGCACCACGCCCTGTCCAGCTTGACCAGGCAGCCTTGCTTCGACCTGATCTGCTTGAGCTTCTGCACAGAATTTGCTTGATTGTTTTAAGAAGATTTTTCCCTTCCTTTTTTTTTCCTTTAAGTTGCTGGAGAACGTTAGGAGTCATTGCAGAGTTTCAGGCATCGGAGTGTATGTGTGTCCATAGAAAGAGGATGTGTGAGGGGCGGGGAGGGGTCAGGAGAAAGGGAAGTCCATTTCAGACATTCGGTGTTTGAAGAGTTCGGGTGTAAAGGTCCAGTGTGCGACTGGTGAAAGGTTGAGTGCTCTGGGGAAGGTCTAGACTGGAGATGGAGGTTGAGCCCGGAGATGTTTGTGTTTTTGTATTAAATAGAATTCTTTATAGTTTTTATTCTGGCCAAAAAAATGCAAAAGATAATCTAACAAAGACTCGTGTACCCCGCACCCAGAATGAACGAAATGTTAACACGATTTCATCTTGTAAATGCATACACACACACACGTCCGTCAGCGTGGGTGCCAGCCCTGTCTCTCCTCCAGTCCTGCCGCTCTTTCCCTTGTCTCCCTGCTTTGGTGGGTATTTCCTCCATCCAGTCCATGTTCTGTGTTTACCTTGTGGATACAAGGGTACGTTCACAATATGTAGCGTTGTTCTGTGAGTTTAAACATTTCCAAAGTGATATCGTACTGCAAATAATTTTCTGAATTGTTCCTTTAAAAAACTCTCAATATTATGTTTTTAAAGATTTTATTTATTTATTTTTTTCCCTCCAAAGCCCCAGTAGATAGTTGTATGTCATAGCTGCACATCCTTCCAGCTGCTGTATGTGGGACGCGGCCCCAGCATGGCCGGAGAAGCGGTGCGTCGGTGCGCGCCCGGGATCCGAACCCGGGCCGCCAGCAGCAGAGCGCACGCACCCAACCACTAAGCCACGGGGCCGGCCCTCAATATTATGTTTTTAGGACTCATCAGTGTTGATATATACAAATGTAGATCAGAATTCTAATATGTGAATCTACAACAACTTTTTTTCGTTTGGGCATTTTCCGGTTTTCTCCATTACACAGATAATGCAGTAACTATCTCCTTGTCTACATGTGCTAGTTTCCAAAGAGAAAATAACGAGAAACGGGCTTGTTTCATCTTTCAGGTGTGCACCTCTTCAGCCCCATCAGGGTTGCCAAGGGCACTTGTGCCGATTTAAACTCCCATCAGCAGTGGGTCCATGTCTGTTTCTGCACCTCCTGGACAACAGTTGACATTGTTAAGACTTCAATTTTTGTCAGTCTAATGAAAATAAAATGATGTCTCATTTTATAAATTTGCATTTCTCTGATTACTAGTAAGATGGAGCACCTTTCATTGCCTGTTCATATCTTTGCCCATTTTTCTATTGCATCTTTTTGTCTTTTTTGTGGAGTTACAGGAACTCCTTGTATATTCTGAATACTAATTTGTGGCAAGTATCTTCTTGTAGTCTGTGACATCTTTTTTAAATGATTTTTCTTTTTAAATCTAGAAATTTAAAATTGTGATATAGTCAAAATTTTCGATCTTTTTGTTTTGTAATTTATTTGTTTTAAAAAATGCATTTCTACTCCAAAATCATAAAGACTTTCTATATTTTTTCTAAGAAAAAATTTTTTTGAATATGATGTGAGAGAGTTAATTTTATTTGTTTTCCAAATGGAAGGCCAGTTGTCCCAACACTGTTTATTGAAGTGTGCATTCCAATGTGACATGGCTCTTCAGTCATACTGAGGTACCATATATGCTTGGGAATATTTCTGGTGTTTTAATTTTGTTTCATTCATGCATTTGTTTATCTCTGTTCCAGATTTTCTCTATCTTAGATACTTTTATAGTAGTCTCCCCTTATCTGCAGAGGATACGTTCCAAAAGCCCCTGTAGATACCTGAAACCACGGATGGTACCGAAATCTATGTTTACTGTGTTTTTTTCCTGTATATACATACCTATGATAAAATTTAATTTATAAATTAGGCACACTGGAGGATTAATGGCACTTTGGGGCCATTATTAAATAACATGAGGGTTATTTGAACACAAGCACTGCAGTACCTCGACAGTTGATCTAATGACTGAGAGGGTTACTAAGTGACTAATGGACAGGTAGTGTGTACAGTGTGGATACGCTGGACAAAGGGATGATTCACGTCCAGGGCGGGAGGGCAAGGGATGGCGTGAGATTTTGTCATGCTACTCAGGATGCCATGCAATTTAAAAATTATTGTTTATTTCTGAAATTTTCCATTTAATATTTTCTGACCACGGACTGAAATCACAGAAAGTGAAGCCTTGGATGAGGGGAGGCTGCTGTACTTTATCATGTCTTGATATCTGGTAGGTCTGCTACCTCCTTTTTCTTTCTCAGAATAACCTTGGCCACTATTAGGCCTTTACTCTTTATTGTAAGTTTTAGAATCAGTTTAAGGTCCATAAAAAATTATAATGGGGTTTTGATTAGAGAAACATTCAATTTATAGATTAATTTGGGAAAAATTTGACGTCTTTATGACTTGAGTTTTCCTATCCATGAATATGATACGTATGTTTTATTATTTATTCATGTCTCATGTTT